AGAGTCTAGGCAGGCAACAAGGAAATGGAGTAGACCTGATGACTAAGACCTATCTACAGTATAGGTACCTGTGGATGATCCTAAGAGACCAAGTCTGCAGAGACAGTCCCCAGGCAGAGTAGGCCTTATATTTATACCTCTGTGGTGGAACCTGCTAGAACATCTTGCTTACTCAGCCTAGTCAGGTGATCAGGTCATATGACCAAGGATGAGGTCATATGAGGTCATGTACAGCCATGCACAGCAGGTCACCTGACCATCCAATCCTTCCAGCAGGTTCCAGCACATGCCAAGGTATACCAGCTACTTCCATGTCATAAAGGCTTAGTCATGTCTCTTGACCAAGCAATGAGCTGGTGCCCTGACACCATTCTATCTACATTTTGCAAGTGAGCAGCTTGTCACCTTGAGCCTGTGCTTCCTTGACCTTGTGCTTGAGGCAGGGAGGTTCAATGTGAATGGAGGTCCACACAGGTTGGATCTCAACATCAAGCCACTTGATTTCTTGTTTCATGCATTCCATGTGTAGCCACTTGATAGTGGCTTGGCAAACCTTGGGACTGGCCCATTTCTGCTTGAGGATATCATTCTGAGAGTATTGCAGGAGGGCAAAGTCAGAGAGGAATGAGTAGTCAAGAACCTCTTGAAATGAGAGCATGGGCCAAGACAGGTCCCAAGCAAGCTTGTTGTACCTCATTAGAGCTCCTTGAATTGTGGTGCTGCGCTGCTTAAGCACTTTTGAAATTGATGTGCACATCTTGTAGCCTGTCCACAGATGAGTCGAGGCAGTCTGCTGCATGGTCACCTTATGATGGAGCAATGAACCAGTGCCACACAGATTGCACTTTTCTATCTCAAACAAGTGCTGGACTACAAGTCCTTCAAGCTTGTCCAGCACTCAGTTGTATCCATGACAAGCAAGATCATGCTCTGTCTGCTTCCAAGTTTCTGAGTCAGGTGTCCAATGCTCAGTGTCAAGTGCAAGTTCATACTGGGTTGCAAGTGCTTCCAAGGTTTGCTCAGTCTGGAGGAGGCACAAGTAGTCTCATTTGAGCATGCATTGTCTTGATGTGGCTGGAAGTGACTCCCAAGCTGTGGCAGGCATGGAGAGAAAGTTGTGCAAGCCAAGTTGAGCCTGCTCCTGCCTAGGATTTGGTCAGATCCATGATGACTGGCCAAGTCTTGCCAAGCACAACTCACTGAGTCAACTGTAATCTCTTGAGAGTTTCCAGATATCAGATGGCTAGAGCCTTGGCTTCCAGCTCTCACACAAGTGAGTGAAAATATTCTTGTTCCTCCTGCAGGAAACCCAAGAAATCATCATCTGTGAGGTGCAGGTGAGCTTGAACCACATGAATTGCACTTCTGTTGGTCTTGAGAATGGCTAATGCCTGCTTGTACTTGGTGAAGAGCCAGTCTGCTGCATTCTCTGTTATTTACACTTGCAGGGGCTTGAAGAAGTCATGCACCTAGGCCAGCTTGTTGGTCCTCATCCCATCTCACCCAGAAACAATGCAAGGTCACATGCCTGTGATACTCTGAGGCATGCCAAAAGAGCAGAGCAGTCAAGTTCTGCTTTGAGAAGATCCACTTGTTAGTCTCAAAAACTTTGAGACCAGCTGAGGTGATGAATTGAGGATGGTATTGAAGCTGACATTGCCAATTGTGGGCATACCCATGGAATGCACCCACAAAAACTTGCAAGGCTTGAGAATGGGCCATGGGATCAAGGGTGCTGTTTGTGATGGTCTTGGAGTGGTTGCAGCCAATATCATAACCCATGGCAAGATCCTGACCCAACATGCTCAAGATCTTCTTGAGGCACACTAATGAGTACTTTGCACTGCATAGCATGGTGGATTAACTCTCAATCCAAAAAGAGCTAGAGATGACTTACAGTTTGCCCAACTGTATCATGTCTGTGGATATGAGAATGAAAGCATGTCTGCATGAAGCAAGAAAGTTCCTGCATGCATGCAGGGCATCATGCCAGTGCTTGACATTGTGTTGAGCAAGGCTGGTGCCCCACCTAACTGTGCATTCTGCATGTCCTTCATCATGCTTTGCTTCATTGAGGTGGCAAGATTTGATTTCCTGATTCAAGTTAGCCACAAGAAGCACTGTTGCAAACAGACTTGCACCTGCTTGTCCACCAAGTCTCTTGCAAACTCATTCACATCATCTTGAGAGAGGATGTAGTTACTTGCAAACTTGGAAACATCCTGGTGCCCTGCCCTGGCAAAGTGTTTACTTGAATTGTTGCCATCAACCAAGAACAGCTTGGAGTGAGGTAAGACTGGTTCCCCAACTAGCTTTTTGAGAAGTCAGCAGTTTCTTTTCCCGAACATTTTGGATGGACCCAATATTTGCAAGCCAGGCAGGAATTCTTCAGGTGCCAGTCTAGAGTATCTTGGTCAAATGCATGCTTCACTTGCCTCTTGATTGTGAGACACATTTTGAGCCAGATATTGTATGCTCTGCTCAGGAGTACATGAAGATGCCACCAGTATGGTACCTGATTTTATTTCAGCACACTCGACTTGTGGGAAGCATGAAAATGAGTGATGTACCCCATGGAGATCACACAAGATGCAGGCAAAGGACTCATGAGACACATATGCATGGACCTGTGCAACATGCAGAACTTGCATGATGTGCAAGGAGATTGCCCATTGCAGCTCATCAGGACTACACAGCATGTATCCTTGCTCCAAGAGATGACAGAGGAGGTTCTTGCTGAATCGAGTAGCATGAAATCAAGTCAACAAGCTCCCTGGCAGCAAGTCAGAAATTCAGCATGGCAAGTGATGGGCAGCTGGCTCAGCTCACCTTTCCAGCCCACTACCTGTATCAAGTACCCACCTGAGCCTAACAACTCAGGAATCAGGTCCACATGCTCCTTTGAGTGACCATGCTGCCAATGCAGAAATGCTTGCTCCATCACTGGAAGCTCAGCCACCCAGCAAGCATTCCATCTGGCAAGCTTTGCAGCATGAGGCCTGGATCCAATGCTGTGCCATGATTGTGTGTCACTGAAAGAGCATGTCAGCCAAGCACAGAAACTGAATGAGGTCCACACACTGATATTCTTGTAAGACAGATTCAAGAGCAGGCTCATCCTTCTCAGTAACCCATGCCTGCTCATCCAAGCTCCCAGCCATGTCCATATCCAGCCCATCCTTGGTTCTTGGGATGGCAGTCTCTCTGGCAGCTTGCAGAGCATAGTGCTGGCTCATGTAATTGAGAGCCTGTTCCTCTTCCTCACTCAGGACCTGCTTCCTCTAATTTCATGCATTTTGGATCTCTCTGAGTCCCACAATTCATGAGCTGAGAGAGAGCAGAGGGGGTGTGTTTTCGAGTTGCCTGCTGTCACTCCTAGCTTGTCTTGCATCACACAAGGCTGACAGCATTGTGCTCTTCCCTCAGTGTTGCATTTGTGAATCTGGGAGGACAGAGAGCTTGACACTGCATGAGGTCAAGCTTGCACTGGATCTTGCTGGTGGTAAGCCACTTTGAGTTGGAGGAATTGATGAGTTCATCAAGCCCTGCAATCTCTACATGGTCTGTATTGGTGGGTCAGTCATGCCCTGATGCGCCCAAGCACATGGGGCTTTAGTCACATGACTCTTGTCATTCTTCAAAATTACAAGAGAAGACCCTTTTATGCTGGATTGAGCTGGAATCAGGGGTCCCCGGTGGATTACACAAATTTGTGTCGTGGGCAGTGTCTGCCCCCGGCATGAATTTCCGCCAAAACGGGGGTGTTACGGGTGGCACAGTCGTGACGGGGGCAAATTCCTACCCTGGAACACGCGAAACATTTGCTGTTTTTTGGTTGTTGTAAAAATAAACCATTTCTTGACAATTAATGTTGTTATGGGTATTCAGTATATTTTATAATAGTTTACCACACATAGCACACTCGGCAAGGCATGATCAACCGCTGCCCCCGGAGTGTCTGATACAGAATTATTTATCTTCCATCCATTTGCGCGGGATCAGGTGGGAGCCTGAGGGGGTAGGGAGGGCAGGGTGACTCGCTCTCAAATAGGAGTGATTCGAAAGTACTTCTAAACAATCAAGGCACTGAAATTCCTCGAAGTGTAGTAGGACGACCTTACCAAGCAAGCAGGAGTCAGGTGACCTGCAATCCGACTGCCCAATACTCCAACCTTGCCGAGAGTCATCAGATTTGTCACTCGATTGTAAACAATACCTGCATAACCCTGCAAGGCCCGATACGCTGTTACAACATTTGATTCTCATGATTCAGGCTCTGGAAATACTTCATCGAGCCACATTTCGTAGTCCAGATGATCCACTGGATCCGATGATAACGGAATTACCTCTCGCAGATAGGCTACAGCAGACGCAGACAGCACTGCCTGTTGAAGATCCACTTCTGTCATGAACCCCTAAATTTGATGCACTCGTTCACCTGCTGTTGTCTACTGGTTTTCAAGGTGCTCACCTTTTCTCCTGCAAGTGATCTGAAGGCATCACGAAGCTGTTCTGGGGACGTTTGATCTTCCGTGATTTCCACCTGCATCAGAATTAGAAGAGACATCCACAAGATCAATGACAACATACAAGAAGATTTACGAAGGCCGCAAAAGTTACAGCCCCGTACTCCTCTCCTAACTGGGTGAATATAGTTTCCAGATCCTCGTCCTGTGAGATTTCTGTGAACACGCGTAACCAATGCACAGGTCAGCATCCAGTCGCACCGAATACACAATACCAAGGCTCGCCAGAGCAGCCGCCATTTCTCCCATGCTAAGCGTATTTGTCTCGTCCTTGTCAAAATATCGGAATGTACTCTCAAACTGCTCCAGCTGTGCTGGCGTCAAGTTTGACATATTGCGAGAAACAATCTTTCCAAATATTAGATGCATGATTGAGTCAGGAGGAAACGAGCAAGCCTGATTATCAATGAATGCGACTTTCTTTGAGATTGCTTGCTGAAGTAGACGAAACTCGAACTGCAAATCCTGGTAGTTGAACACGGTGTGATCGTTTTCTTCGACGTTTGCTGATTGGCAATCTTGTTCTGCTCGTTCCAGAGTCACGAGTCGAAGAAGCAACGGCTCCAGGTCGGCGCTGATTGCTTGGAGTTGTGTTCGTTGAGTCTAAGACAACGCGGGTTAGAACCAATATCAACGCATAGGTACCACTCGCTTCTAGTGGGCCGTCCAAAGCCGCGAGATCAGCTGCAACCTTTCTCAACTGTTGTTCGTATGCGTTAGCTTCATTCGCGAACGTCTGGCGCAGGGTCTCCTTTATACTGCAAGATCGCTTGATATTGACACTCATCGTGGCTTGAATGAAACAGCTCACTTGCGAATCTGCGCATTGACAGCCCTGGATCTCTTCCCCTCGCATTCTAACAAACAAAGCCAAGCGGTATCCAACCCCTGCGGCATGTTAACGTTCCGACCGACTGGAAAGGCACGCAATTTTGCGCTCACCGCAAGATCCAGTCCGTCGGGAGGTTCGTACGGTCGCAAATTGTACGTCTTTAACTTGGTTTGGACATTACCCAACAAAGTACCCAGGTCCTGCTTTTCTGCCACCCAATCCCTCTTCATGGTCTGTTTATACAACAGAAATGTATTGGACTGCGTCTTGGCGTCCTCGTATGTTCCTGTGAAAGGAGTTGACAGCCATTCTTGTTCCTTGTCACGCAACTGATGCAGCAGCTAGTGGCATGCATGAGTGACACAGATTGCTTGCAGCAGGCAGTCGAACCTTTTCGATGCGTCGCTCGTAATCATTCTTGCTCAGCCAGACAGAATGCATGAGTTCAGCGAATTTCTCGACGCGTCGGGATACTGTCTCTTGTTGATCTGCAACCGCAATTTCCGTAAACTTCCGAAAATCTTCTCACGCCAAATAACACACTCGCCCATAGAAGAAAATGCATGAAAGTATGAGGCAACATAGGTCATGACACTGCGCTCATCAGGAGGGCGGGCATCCGCGAGGTCCTTAACTTCCAATAGTTGCTGTTGTACACATCAGCATCAACACCACGGAAAGAGAGCTTGTTGCACACTGGTATGCTGAGATGATGTGCGGCCACATCGAACGCTAGCTGGATCACACGGTGGGTGTCCGCCTGTCAGAGAGAACGTTGAGACTAGTTAAAAATATTCCAGCTGATTCAATGGGTCGAGTACCTTTTCAAGCGAATGGTAGTCCAACAAGTCTGGACGGTGGTGATGGATGAGAGCGCATCTGACAACATAAGGAGTTGTCCAAAACATAGGTATGAACAAGCTTACAGCGCTAGACCGTCAGACCAGCTGTAGCCGAAATCAACGACGTTCACTTCCGGGTAATTTGCAGTTTTGCGTTGGCACCACAAGAGCAGGCCTTCTTTGGCCGATAGACCTTCTTCGCTACGAGCATTTCGGTTGGCTCGAGAGCGATGACACCCGACGGCAATTTCCTCACCTGATGTCCGCTATTGTAAACCGTAGTATGAGCGTCCATATCATCCCCAGAATCAGTTTCAGATTCCCATCAATTATATCTCGCCAGGGGTCAATCGTGTAAAGAGATAGTTGTTGAGGCTCACCTTCCGGACCTATGTTAGTGAGCTTTACACCCCGTGATCGTATGAATTCCAGAGCTTTATTCACGTTTTCTGCCTTCTGAACTCGCATCTTTGGGACCTTGTTGAAGCGGCCTAGAGAAGTATCTCCTGCGAACCTCTTTGAGAATTCTGAACCAACAGTGGCGTATAAGTTACCCATGATTTCCTTGAGTAACAATGTCATCGACCTGAATCACGTTGAAAAAAAATCATTATACCATGAGTTGGATCAGCTTCACGCCGTCAGAAAGATCCTTGACCAGCGAGGTCATGAGCGGGTAGCCTTGGGATTCGAGCTTGCTGTTAAGCCTTCAGAGGAGAAGTACATCAGGGAAGCATGGACAGTCACAGGTGCGTAGAATAGAACCAACCATTTGCAAAAGGTTCGTTCCTGCACATCTCGAGACTGAGTTTCGAGTGAATCCATCAAGGGTTGAGGGATACTGATTGTGCTCGGCCTTCACCAAATTGAACAACACTGTGACCGACACAACAAACTCAGGGACGCGTTGTGTGACGCGTGACTCCCCTTGCACTGTGCAACAGTTCGTAAAAGTGATCACTATGGATCACGCATCTTCGGACCGTGAATTCTTGGATACAGTTCCAGGAGAAATTGCTTTTTTTCGTGGGATCATGCAAGCGCGCCCTGTGGGGATCAATCGACATTTTCACATGTTGACAGTTCAGCAGCATATTAAGGACGCCACCAAGCGGAGTGTGACCGTCCCAGTGTTGTGGGACAAGCTACACGCTCTCTATGATCTGGAAAAGCTAGAAAATATGGTAGATTGTTCATGAGAGAACTGTCTTTAGACTCTAGCTGATTACTGTCCAGGATGTATCTGAAGAAGACGAATCTCCGCCACAGATGGAAATACCGCTACCCAATGATGACAAGACACCTAACTTATCCTCACCGGCTGTCCGAAAAGTCATATTCCATCCTCATTTTCGCGAGGAATTTTTTCTGCCTCAGGAAGAATACGATTTGCTTGTTGCAGAAAGAAGACTCAAAGAGCTACCTAGCTCTGCTGATGAAAGCACAACCAGGCCGTCAAGACGTAATCTCCGAGGGAAGGAAAGAAACGCTGGACTGGTGTCAGGGGATAGTGAAAGTAGTGAACTCACAGAAGGAGACGGTGACCAAGATGCCAAGGCTGACGAGAGCATGGACGGTCAGTTTGTTTTTTTGTTTCGGTTGTCTACTACACGGTCTCATCAGACGGTATGCTTCTCAGATCGAGGACACCCGATCCGGCACGGCAGACAGCCTACCAAGCAGACGAGGAAAACTGCACAAGTATCCGCGAAAGCTCGAGGAATACCAAAGGCTGAACATGTAAAACGAAGGAAGGTTTGTAGGTTTCAGTCTTGCCATCATCGATGGCTGAGTCATTTGGACAGCGATGGACAAGCAAACCGTGACAGCATGCCCAAGAAACACTCCTGAAGGGGCGACATACAAAGCTAGCGCCATCGAGCAGATGTTATACATTAAATCTGGGGATACGTGTAACACGGACAGCACATATATAAGACTGTCTGGTGCCATCTATCTACCTTGACCCGCAAAGAACCCGGAATTGTGTAGCTTACTTAATTTGCGTGGAAGGCCCGTGGAGTTAATCCCACCACGCTGACCCTTCTCCTTTTATGTATGTGACCCAGTAATGTCTGTCCCCGCCAGTCCACGTAAATGTGGTGTTTGATTGATGACTGTGATTTCTAGGAATCAGAAAAGGTCCGATACAAAATCTGAATATATAGAGGCACGCAAGGGAGGCAATGGACCCTGTTTTGCCAAATATAACAATTTCTGCCAAATCTGAACATATGGACATACACCTATGATATGATATAATACAATGAGAAATATGATACTACCACTAACCCTAACCCTAACCCCTACCTTCCCTACCTGCCCTAACCTTAACCACCCCTAACCTGCTAGATGGGATCATGGGATCCTAACCAACCCTAACACCATGCAGGCATGTATATGTGCTGTAAATACTTTCCTTTTTAGGGAATTATAGATGCAATTTGCCTCTGATGCATGCACCCTATACTACTCATCTCATGTGTGCTCACAGAAGGAGTACAGAAGATACCTGAGTATGAGATGGATTTGCCTGTCCACTCTGCAGGAGTATAGATGAGAAAAGGAGTACTATGTAGCATGTAGGTTGATGCAGATCAGAGGCAAAGGACCCTACTTTTACCATATATAGAAAGATAACAAGCCAATCCTGTGGACATTGCCCATAGCACTGCTTACATAAATAATTATCTTAGTTAAAAAATATGATATTATCACTACCACTAACCCGACCCCTAGCCCGGATCCTAACCAGTACCCTAACACTACACAGGCATAGGGGAGGAATTCCCTTTTTCGGCAATTACTGAGGTAAGGGACCTCCCAATCCGCGTTATCTATCCCACATGTAACATTCTATTCATCTATCCTGCACACGGGCCATGGTTGCAAGGACAGAGTCGAACATCATGCGTTCTGAAGATATTCTTAAAATATGCAAACGCCATATTAGAAGCTCGTCAAATTCTCTGATTCTGTTTAGCAGATCCATCCTTGCTGTTGCATGTCGGTTGAGGTGTGAATAAAGAACGAGGAAATCCGTTGTATTCTCTAAATGGGGGCAGGCTCGGTTATCTGTCAGACATTTTCATATCCGAACGCCAAGGGGTGGAGTTGTTGAGTGCCTTACGTGAGGTTTGTCTTCTCCCCAAAGCAAGATGTGCTCTCTGAAACATATGCAGGAATACCCGAGGTTTCAAAGCACAGCGTTTGTCCAAACTGCTGGTGGTGATCACACGTTCCTGGTGAACCGACATATGCTGCATGAGAACACAATCTTAGAAGGCAGAGTGTGGGTGCATCTATGCCGCGGCTCGTTTATTACGGTCCTACAAACTTCTCATCTTGCTTACTCTGTCTGATTGCTCCATTTTAGTTCCACGAACCTCCAAACGCTGTTATTTCTGTTGTCACGACGATTCGAACCATGCTACCCGTCCCAGCCATCACAACATCCCTGGTGGCGGTCGAGTGCGAGACACGCATTCTAGTGGCTCTCGCCGGCGTGCTACTGGAGTACGGGGTTGTCTATGTCCCCTCACCGGACATGTGCCTGCTGCATTTACCTGTGACGATATGCAGTGTGATTCTTACTGGTAGCAACGAGCATATTCTGCTCCAGTACTGTTTCCCCAGAATGCTCTCCGAGACCTCATCCTGCAAGGGCCCCCCCATCCTCCAGAAATCCTTTATACATCGTTTCACTTCACGGCTCCATGGACAGCACAGCGAGTGGGATGGTATCCGGGTAGCGATGTATGATAGGGTCGAGGCGCGCTTATGTCTATAATGAAATGGGGGACAAAGGTTCTGCCCATTTCGTAACTGACGTCAATATGAAGACAATACATATTATACACAGTCGAGAAGAGGTACTGGGCCACCTGCTCTCAAACAATGATACAGCCGTCCCGCTTCCCTCGTCCTTCCAATCCCTCCAACTGAGCGAGTTTCACTTTCTCGGCGGCAGTCAAGAGCTGAAAAAGAATAATGAGCGGCTATTATCGTCATACTGGTTTGTCCCCACCCCTTTATTTGCTCTCTCCTTCAAAGCTGCCATCGCACTTCTCTCCTCTGCCATTGCCCTCCTAGGTGCAAACGAATACATCGCGGGAACCAACATTGTTAGAAAAGAGTGGGGGCGGCGAAAATGATGATGGAAACGGTAAGGAACGACCCGGTACGAATGAACATCTTGGCTTTAGATTCGGAGAGGGTGCGGAAGAAGCCTCGCACCGGTCAGCTTTCGAGAATGGCACGCTGCTCATCAGCCCACTTCCAATCTTCTCGTTTCTCAATGAAGAGGACGATTGAGCTCCGTTTGAGGAAGCTGGTTCTTGTGCCATCTTAGGCCTCGCAGTCTTGAGTTGAGAGTACCACACCTGGTTGTTGGCATGAGAGTTATCGACACGAGAATTCAACGACGGCGTTTTCGACATTGTGGGACGGCCATTATTAGGCCCAGAGATAGACGAACATGAGTGCGATGCAGCAAATCTGTGTTCGGGGCAAAACTGCCTTCTACATGACTAATACATTCGGTGAGTAAACGCATCACCAAGTTTGGTTCAGTACATACCGGGCAGTGAATGGGAACTATCAGAACTTTCCTACAGCGAGCATGTGCGCATATACGTGCACTTTTCTTGGAAGACCCTTCCCTCCCCAACGCCTCACAGGATGATTTAAAGTGACTTTCCATGGCAGCCTGAGCATGAGTAAGCACCGGAATAAGATCTGTGACAAAAAGTTACTCACGTCTGGATCACCGCCGCTGGGATAGGCAACAGGAATGTTGCAGAAGGGACAGCTCGGCGCTACACGGTTGTGCATAGTCGGATCCCACTTGTTACATCGATGTGCATCAGGGAGAAAGTGGGAAGAGCAAAAGGTGTATGAGCAATGTGGACAGTTGATTGGTAGGAAATCGTTCAGGCTGCAGGAGTCTAGATGGCATGTCGATCCTACAAATAGAAGTTCCTGGCTTTTTGCGTTTGCTGACATCGATGGACAAGACTCATGTACGTTGCAGAAATATTATTAGTGAGGTGAATTTAAGTAGCGCGAGGCACAAAGGGGACGCGTCAAAGCAAGCAAGGCTGGTGCCTTCTAGAAGCGCTGAATAACCAAGCAGTGTGGGCTTATGTAATAATAGTAGGACATCTCGAGGCAGTGCAGCGCCAGGGAGTAATCCCACAGTGCGCAGACCAAGTCACCACACTCTTTCTTCATTACCTTGCCTGCTCCATCATGGTAAGCACATCTATGACAGTGAGATGTACGCAATTATTCAGCCCCTCTTTCCTCAAGTCTTCTGGAATCGTTCCTTCGGCTGACGTCCTCCGTGTCTTTGAGGAAGACTTGAAGCGAAACAAGAAGTTCAAGTACATCATTCTCGGCATAGCGAAGGTTGTCGATCCCTCAAATGCAAAGCCCGTAGATACGATTGTGGTAACGAAGACGTCTGAAGAGCCTTCATGGGACAAGTTTCTCGCAGAGCTTACGGATACCGAGTGCAAATACGCTATCTATGATTTCGCGTATGAGGTCGATGGTGGAGGACAGCGGACTAAGATCATCTTGATTACCTGGTAAATAACTTCTAGGCGCTCTCGTATACTGATTCACATGACATGTCAGGGCCCCCGATGGTGCGCAAACCAAGGAGAGGATGATATTTGCGTCATCCAAAGCGGCTTTGAAGGCCACATTGAGTTCCGGCATTGCCGCGGAGGTACAGGCCAACGACCTCTCTGAGATAACGTTTGAAATTGGTATTGCCCTCTATGTTAGTTGCATCCATATGTTTGTGCTAACTGTTGTACAGTACGGGCCAAGCTTGGCAACTGACCTGCCGAGCCTGGTAACAGATCTGGGGAGTGTGGCAATGGGTATGTTGACTGCTCAACCTCATTGTATCATGCAGCGGTCGTAGCTGTCTGAGTTCCTTGGCGAATGTAAATGAAAGTTTTTGTCCCATGTTCTCGGCAATGAGGTGCACGCTACCAACCTTGGGCGGTGAGGATCAATGCCGACTCACCTGAAAGTCGCTCGTGATGCGGAGAATTCTTGTTCTCTGCAAATTGGTCGAACGATTCGGGTTTGGTAGAGGCGTATGTGCCAGTGGCAAAGTGTAAATGAATTAGAGTCTGGGAGGTTCATGCCAGGTTCATATAGAATCAAGTTGGGACTTGTATAGCTGAACTTTACTGATGCTTGCTGACATGAGAGAGGGAAGTTAATGAACCTTCATCCTCAATTGTGAAGCTTGTTTTGCCTTGGTGGTTTACCAAAGTTTGCCTCAAAAATGGCTGAAACAAAACTTGAAATCAAATATAGGATAAACATGACCCACAGAAGGAATCTGTAAGCTCAGAGGCTCCTGTTCCTCCAGGCAAAAAAGATTTTCTTCTTATAACTGGTTAGAGTGGGAAGATTATGGCTGCAAGAAAAATACTGGCTCAACTTGAAAGGTAGCTGGATGGTATTCAGAATCTGTCAGGGGGACATTCCTAAAATGATCATGAGGAATGACCATGTGAGAATCTGCAAATAAACTTGGTTGGCCCCATAGTAAAATTGTTTGCTTGATTAGCAGCCCATCTCATACTCTTGGAGGCTACCTAGGTCCTGGTAGCTATTTGAGATCACCATGATACCCATGTGGTATTGACTGCAATATCTTGAGTTGTCTGTATCAGTCTTGAGAGTCCTTGATCATGTCTCTGATTCTCTGATATGCCTGAAGGCTCACATACTCTTGCTCTTGAGTGGGTCCCATCCTTGAAAGTTCCTGGGATACCCATGAGACTAGAAGAACAGGCTTTGCCCTGACCACCTGCTGCAGTCACCACAGTTCTTTGTCATATGAGCTCAAGTCATGTGAGCATCACCCTCCATAGGAGAGCAGTACTTCATCATGGCTTCCTTGCAGGCAATGTTGAGTAAGGATGGATAGATGTCACATATTTGTAAGGGTCCCCCTTACTTGTCTATTCCATCTTATAATGTAGTTTAGCAGTAAGCAGGTCACAGCAGTGAGTGGGTCACATCACAGACCCTGTAATACATGATCATCATGCATCTCTGTTGTACCCATGCCTCCCTCCTCCAATGAGCACTGAGTGCTCTCAGCTCTTGCTGCTATGAAGACCAATCCAGCATTGTCTATCCAAGAGGCTGCAAGGCAGTACAATGTGTCAAACTCAACACTGCAGCACAAAATGGCTGGTGTCAAAGCACACACAGATACACATAGTCTGCATGCCAAGTTGACAGCAACCAAGGAGAGGGTTGTCATTGAGTATGTGCTGAGGCTGGAGAGCAGGGGTTTCCAGTGCAAAAGAAAGATTTGGAAGGGATGGGAGATCTATTGCTTGCAAAGAGAGGAGGGTTGAAGGTCAGGGTGGCATGGGCAGACTAGTTCATCTGACAATGACCAGAGATCAATACTTGGCTCTCCCATCCCCTTGACTACCAGAGAGCACGGCAGGAAGATCCACAAGTGTATGCTGCATGGTTCTGGCTTGTGACCAATATGCAATCAAAATATGGTGTTCAGCCAGGTGATTTCTATAACTTCAATGAGACCAGCTTTGCCATGGGCATGATCAGAGCAACAACAGTTGTGATAAGCAGTGAACAGACAGCCTGGCCAAAGGCTATCCAGCCATGGAACTGGGAGTGGGCAACAGCTATCTGCTGCATTGCAGCAGATGGGTACATCCTCCCCCCTTTTCTTTGTGTTTGGGTGGCACCACCTTGTAACATGGTATGCAGACAACAACATCCCGGAGGATTGGGTTGTCAAACCCACTGACAAAGGCTGGACAGACAACACTACTGGTCTGGAATGGCTTATGCACTTCAACAAGTGTACTGAGAACTGCAGGATTGGTCAATACTGTGTGCTGGTCCTTGATGGTCATAGGAGCCATGTCACAGTTGAGTTTAACCAGTATTGCAAGGATCACAATATTGTCCCCCTCTGCCTACCACCACACTCATCACACTATACTCAGCCTCTCAATGCCATTGTCTTCAGGCCTTTGAAGCAGGCATACTGCAACCAGATGTCTTGGCTCTCACAGTGCAGCATCACAAGCATCACAAAGCCTGACTTCTTTGCCACATTCCACACTGCATTTGCATTGGCATTCACAGTTCAAAATATTAAGAGTGCATTCTGAGGTACTGGTCTGGTGCCTCTGACTGCACAGGCAGTCATATCAAAGCTCACATTACACCCATGGATGCATACACCTCTGCCAGTTGATGAAGAACCGGAGCAGCCATGGGTCTTGCAAACACCAAAGACTGCAGCAGAGACTGCCTCCCAAGCAACACTCATCAAGAACAGGATTGGCCAGCATCAGCAGAGCTCACCTACCTCAATCTATGCATCGATTAACCAGGTTGCAAAGCGTGCCATTGAGCAAGACCATTGCATGACACTCTTGACCAGATGAGTGCAGCTTCTCAAAGAGACAGTTGACCACCTTTCCAGACATTGCAGGATCAAGAATGTCTGTCTCCAGGACTCTGGAGTACTTACTGGTGCACAAGCCAATGAGCTCTTGGTGGAGCAACATGTTGGTGAGCTGGATGGGCAGGATCAAGGCAGAGGGGAGGCTCAGTTGAATCAAGCAAATCTGGGTGCATGATACTGTAGACTCTGCAGATTGCCTGGACACAACTCCAGGACATGCCCTGGTGCAGAACAAGTAGATAATGTGCCTGTACAGCAGTCTGATTAATGAGATGTTGCTTTAATGGTGAGATATTGTACATCCATCACAGAGCATCCACAAACCTGATCCGTTTGCTGCCCTGACCCACTCACTGCTAAACTACATTAAGGCCCTTTCAAACTTGTTACCTATGGGCTAGACTCTAGCACCTAGACAGATCAGATATATTGGCTGGATATCATGCAGAATCAGTTGGAGGTCAAAGCTATGGGCCAGGTCCCTAACTCATGAGCAGCCAGCCCTAAGATGAGCCCTTCTGTACAGTTTCCAGCCACACCCACAGATTGATTCATTTGACTTATTCATAAGTATTCATCCCTGGGTCTGATCTCTCAGGATTCCATGACATGCCCCTTCAATTATTCCTGAACAGGCAAGAATCATTCATGTTAATACTTGTTTGAGTGTGGTAAGCAAGTCCACATAAGGGTTCATAGCTGTTTTGGAGTCTGCTGAGGAGGGCATTCATCCTCATCTCAGCCCTATGCACCACAAAGGCCAACATAAAGTGGATTGGGTGTGATGTGCTGAGCAGGCAAGCATAGAGAATGATTGTGTGCTTAGTAACCATGGGCAAACTGAAAGGGCCTCAGTATAGGCCTCACTGATGGTCCAGTTCAATGAAGTACACTCAGGAGTACTGTTAAGACTGTTCTGTGTCAGAGAAAGCATCTAGATACAGTTTCCAATTGATGGTGGGGAGAGAGGAAATGACACAGAGAAAAGGTAGACTAGGCCTGCAAATGAGTAGGGCCTAGCAATGGAAGCAAACAGAATAGACAAGTAAGGGGGACCCTTACATAAACAAGCATATCAACTCACCGTTCTAAAGGATTGACTGAAGGTCCAGCATTGGAGACTAGTCAGCCATTGTCCTCAGTGTGATGATGGAGCAACAGACAAATGAGTAGAACTTGCAACTGCTGCTCAACAGACCCAGTAGTCAGCTTTTGATATCAATATGCACTTTCATCATCCCAAGCTATAGTTGCAACCTTAAACTATGCCCCACCTTGCATTGCATGCACCAAAGCACTGTCCACTGTCCTCACCATCTGTGCCATCTGTCATTCCTCACCCTTGACATCTGCATCCCTTGCTGCCTTTATGCTTGCCCACAGTTGGTTCCTGTCTGGCCACTGGCCCCTCCCCTCACCCTCCTGTGCTTTGTTATAATGGGGCCATCATGTTGTTACAACAGTGGCAGCTTTGCACTGCAGAACTTTTGGATCGATTCTAATAATACTGCTGTGGGGTGCTACAAGAAGCTATAGTGGCTGTATCCATGGACTGTATAACAATGTAAAATGGAAGCAAAGGTTTATGGCAGCCACTGAGGACTGGTCCATTTTTTTATATGACCTCTCAAGCTCCTTGACCAATATCAACTCACAATTCTTTGCTCTTTTCTGCTTTGATCAGCTTCTTGAAGCTGAGCAAACATGTGAATGCCAGATGTGAACTGTTGGTGCTATTTACTCAACACCAACTCATACTTGCAATAGTTTCATTTGCATAGTACTGATCACTAATATTTTCAAAGGTCCAGAAGTTTCTGTGCAAGTGGAGTGTGTGAACAGTGATTGCTTAGCTTAATAAGTACTATATATTTCTTACAAGTTTTTACCAATGTGATATGATGGTTTGGGAGAGTGGTTAATCCGCTGCCTTTAGGAATGGTTTAAACGGCAGTGCCGTCGGCGCGCGAGTTCGAATCTCGTAACCATCACGACCCATTGTTTTATTTTCATATCCGTGCAGTTCATGTGCGATCGTTTCCAACTCAATGTGTAATTTACACCCTATACCGTAATGCACTCTACTGGATGGATCACTTTGTCCTATTTTGCGGGTGTAGTGTTCTTGCGTACATCGTACGAGGCAGTTCCAAAAAACCTTTGAAATCTCCACTTGGTTGGCGGGGCCACAACTCATGACGTTCATTTGGCAAGTTTCAACAAATTACAAGAAGTTTACAACCATAAATGGTCACCTGAAAGTACAAGAGCGTCGAACGGGTACAAGATGTAGACTGGGATAAGAAACGCAGGTTAGGATCCCTCTGCCTTGGGAGCTGATTCTTTCGCCGGGCTGTTGGGAAGATTGGGGGAAGCAGACAGGGGAGGATGCGAAGAAGGGGGAGACGCGTGAGGAATACTGATGGCATGGTAAGCGGATGGATGTAGTGTAGGAGCTCCAACATACGACTCAGGGCTAGGTATCGCAGTGCCAACAGCATTCTCAGGAGCGACACCAGCTTTTGACAGAGCATAGTCTCCAGAATCAAAATACTTGCGATCCTGGGAATCGATGAGAATGATAGCAACACCCAATAGTTCACACTGTACTTTCTGCATCTTCATCAACACATTCTTGTGGTTCGGCAGTTTGCCGTAGAGACTGAACAGCTTCTTCTCCTCTTCCGTCATGGTCTGAAATGGATACTGTGAGCAGATACGCGGGTTTTCCTTTGCACGAATACTTACACTAAGATCCACTTTCTTGCGCTGGGCAGGCAACATGATGTTATCAACGTGAAAGCAACCGATCAAGCAGTGGTGGTCCCTTCACTTTCGTTCGCCTCAAAGAGAGTCCGCTTGATGTTGGGGTTCGCCACTGGGCACAGCCGTCACTCGTTTCCCCTGCAGCACAGTGTGGTTCGATTGTCAACCGCGACCTGGCGCTCTCATCGCACACAATATCGCGACATTCAGACGATCAAAAGCACCACCACCGATTTCAATCATGGTATGGAGTTACAAGACAAGTGTTGAACGATCCTAATCTCCAAGAATTCTAGGCGCAAGAGCTGGATCAGAAGATCCAAGAGGTTTACAAGCGTATCCAGATGGAGCGCAAGATCATGGATGGATCCCACCAGCTTCTTCAAGCGACCAGCAACCCTGCCGTACGAAACCGAGCGGATACGCAGCTCAGAGATGCTCAGCGATCCTTGTCATATTTTGAGGATACCCTAAGAGAGTTACAGGCAAAGAAGCTGCAACTACAGCAACAGTCCCAGCGGCCGCCCAGGGGCACTTCAATGCCCACAAACACGGGGCAATTGGCTTCATTACAAGACTCAACACCTTCCTCAGGTTTTGCTCAGAGACCAGGGGCTAGTCGAGACCGTGCATTACCGGCGCCTCCGTCCGACATTGGTCCAGAAGGCAGACAGAATGGGATCAGCGACCTCCAAAATGGTGGGATAGATTCGACTGACTATGTGCCCAAGCCGAAAGCGTACTCCAACTTGGGTAGGCTGGGATATAGAGCGATTCATCACATGAACTGACTTCCCGTATAGATCTATTGCGAGCTGATACCCCGTATACTACAGCCAAAATTTCTCGGATGTTACATCAGCTGGAATTTAAGCTTCACGTCGAGAAGCAATATCAGCGTGCAATAGACAACATGGTGACCCTGTACAAGGCAGATGGTGACAAGAAGAGCCGTCAAGACGCGGAGGCCAAGCAGGTCGAAAGTAACAGGAAGATCCAGCTCCTTCAGCAAGCTGTAAAAAGGTACAAAAACCTTCATATTTATGACGACCCTGCCGAGAACGAGGAAGATGGTGAGTGGTTTATTTGAGTAACGCTGCATATGAAAGTTCATCTATGTAAATCAGAGTTTGGGGTGGACGGTCAGCGCAAGGAAGGCCTCCGCAAGCCGTTGTCTGGAAAGTTACGGATTACCATCAAAGCTGCACGAGAGCTCGACCATATCTCTCTTCCTGCGAAACGGTCTTCCAAAGCTGTTGCTAGCGAGACTACCGTGGTGGTGAAGATCGAGGGAACGCCTCGTGCTCAGACCCACCCATCTCGCAACGACCGATGGAACGAGGAGTTCGAGATATCGATCGATAAAGCCAATGAAGTCGAAATTGCTGTTTATGACAGACAAGGAAACGACTATCCTATTCCTGTGGGATTGCTGTGGCTTCGGGTCAGCGATATCTCGGAGGCATTGCGCAGACGGCGTGTCGGAAACGAGACGGGGCAAGGTTGGGTGACAGCCGCTACAATGCCCAATGATGCTAGTAACAGTGTCACGCCACCTATTTCCTCTGAGTACAACTCCCTGCTACCTGGAAGTTATGGTGGACCAGGCGGGGGCACCAATGCGACTGCATACGGAACGGCCGATGGTATTGATGCCTGGTTTGCTGTGGAGCCTGTGGGGGCTATTGCGCTACACCTTGAATTCCGTAAGGTTTTTTTTTCAATAGAATCAGAACATGCACTGAGTATTCGCATTCCAGTCAAGGAAAATGTGAGGAAGCGTCCTGCAGATGTCGGGCTCGGACGGCAGGGAGCAGTTCGCAAAAGGAAAGAAGAAGTGCACGAGATGAACGGACATAAGTTCGTTCTGAAACAATTCTATCAGATCATATTGTGTGCCTTCTGCAACGAGTTTTTGCTCAATGCTGCAGGGTACCAGTGTGAAGACTGTCGGTATACGTGTCACAAGCGGTGCTATTCGAAGGTGGTCACGAAGTGTATATCCAAGTCGAATGCGGAAACTGTGAGTCCCGCTTGCAGGTGTGCAGCACTGGTATTTTTCTGACACAGACACAAATTGTAGGAGGGAGATGAAGAGAAGATCAATCACCGCATTCCACATCGTTTTGAGACTATCACAAATATCGGGGCTAATTGGTGTTGTCACTGTGGCTATATGCTCCCTCTGGGAAGGAAGAATGCTCGAAGATGCACTGGTGAGACCCCCTTTACATCCTATTACAACGATTGCCAGTCTGACACTTCGCGGAGAATGTGACATTACCTGCCACGCGACTTGTGCCCACCTCGTTCCCGACTTCTGTGGCATGTCGATGGAAACTGCGAACGCGCTATTAGCCAGTTTACGGGATATCAAATCTCATCAGCAGAGACCGCGACCTGGACCGCAACCTCCAAGAACGCCTACTACACCAACAGCCATTACGTGTTCCCCTCAAGCCCGACCAGAAACACTAGAGGGCACATTCGATCGTCTGAATGTTGCTGCTGAACGTGGTCCAAATGATGTTTATGGGCGGCCACCTGGTGCTATGCCTCCTTATGCACCAGACAGGCTCCCACCGTCCACCCAGAGCTATCAACAGGCGCCTCCTTCGCCTGTTAGTCAGCGACAAACCCCGACTCGCCCTTCGACAGGCGAGATTCCAGCACAAGTATCTAGACCTGGGACCATACCGCAGACCAAATACCCAGCACCTGGAGAGGGTTCCCCATCAGTGTCCGCACCGCTGTATACTGTATGTGGAGGCAGTGTTCATTGCGGGAAGGTTCTAAATCCTATGTAGGCGAAGCCGATCGCCTCTGCTGCGCCGGGGCCGACAGAGTCCGCCGTGTCCAAACCGTACCCCTTATCTGGTGTAGCTACGCCAACTATTCCTGGCATGACTTCTGGTCCCGGCGTCTCCCTGCAGGCACCCCCGCAGAGACCGGATAAGCGCAAGCGGAAGGTAGGATTAGACGATTTCAACTTCTTGGCTGTTCTTGGTAAAGGGAATTTCGGCAAAGTGATGCTTGCCGAAGAAAAACGGTCGAATGCGCTATACGCTATCAAAGTACTGAAAAAGGAGTTCATTATTGATAACGATGAGGTTGAAAGGTATGAATTAATTATTGCAACGCGGCGCTATGAAGAGGATGCTAACGAGGTTTGTGTAGCACCCGCTCGGAAAAAAGGGTGTATCTTACAGCTGCGAAGGAACGGCATCCTTTCCTCTTGGGTTTGCATTCGTGTTTCCAAACAGAAACACGCATATATTTTGTAATGGAGTACATAAGTGGTGGCGACTTGATGCTCCATATCCAGCGGAAGCAGTTTTCTTTGCGACAAGCCAAGTTCTACGCTTGTGAAGTATTACTTGCGTTGGAGTATCTTCACGCCAATGGCATCATATATCGGTAAGTAAGCGATCAGCCACTCGGAGCCGTCACTGAACCACTCTGGCAGTGATTTGAAGTTGGATAACATATTGCTTACCTTAGACGGTCACATCAAGGTAGCTGATTATGGCCTATGTAAGGAAGAGATGTGGTACGGTGAAACCACCAGTACTTTCTGCGGAACACCGGAGTTCATGGCCCCTGAGGTTGGCATATTTGTTGTGATCAATAATCAGGGCTTATACCTTCACATGACAGATTCTTCTTGAGCAACGCTATGGTCGTGCCGTTGATTGGTGGGCTTTTGGAGTGTTGACGTACGAAATGCTTCTGGGTCAATCTCCCTTCCGTGGCGATGATGAGGACGAGATTTTCGACGCAATCCTCGAGGACGAGCCTCTTTATCCTATCACGATGCCGCGCGATGCGGTGTCAATTCTTCAAAAGGTATTGCCCCTTCTGCCCCCAATGGTCAACCAACTGAACCCCTCATCAGCTTCTCACAAGAGACCCAGGGCGAAGGCTAGGGTCTGGGGCCAATGACGCGGAGGAGGTGAAGAAACACCCTTTCTTCAAAGACGTCAATTGGGACGAGGTTTTCCACAAACGCATCCCCCCACCATATTATCCCAGCATCGTCAGTCAGTCTCTTATTGTTATTCTTCCATCTAGTGACGCTATTACCCAGACATCCGCACATGACACAAGCAATTTCGATCAGGTATATTTTTGCATTCATACAATCGGTTAGCTAACCCACTCATAGGAATTCACCCGAGAACAACCAACTTTGACACCTGTGCACGGACAGTTGTCTAATCGGGACCAGCAAGAGTTCCAAGGGTTCTCTTGGGTAAGCTCCTCTTTGACACGTCTGTGTGAGCGGCTCACCGAGGCGGACCATGCAGATCGCCCCTTGGGCCGATAACTGAGACGAGAATCCATTTCGAAAGCTGCTTGTGGGACCTATTAGTGTATTACAGCGTAAATAGGAATTGCAAAGAATGTAGACTGTAATCATGCTTACTCCCAAAGGTCCTCGTTGCCTCAAGTGCTACTCCTGATACTGTTCTCTTCTAGTGCTACATCCACGGTATCTTGCTCTCGCATGAAATCATGAAATTTACCCCACAGCGAAGATATCGTTTCAAATTCCCTTCCGACACCCAGAACCTCTTCAAGTTTCCTGTTGAGCAAATTGGATGACGAGAGTAGATCTTCAAACGTCTGTGCGGAACACTTAGTCTGCCATTCTTGGCCTCCACCGTCACATACTGAGGTAATCTCTGCCACCAGTCGTTCCCTTTCTTTCTCGAAATAAACAAACTCTCCTTCGTAGGATGTTTGAGTTGCAGCCATATTGCTGTTTGCCTCTTATTGTTGAAGATGGGGTGGAAAGCAAAACGCGCCAAAGACGCGTCCAGATGATAAACTTCCATTTGTCTCCGTGCCTATACATAGAAGCAATTGGACTTGTGCTAGGACATGATATCGGTATAGTACAGTCGTGACACGAAGGCACTGTTAGCACCCATCATAGGAAACCAGATTCCTGTAGCAGGCGGGCCATCCTCTCTTCTTCTCTCTCTCGGGGCTCTCTTTCGAGACTTATCGGCCAGTAATCAGTTTCTTGGTGCACCGACTCCAAGCTCTGTTCGATGAATTCAATAATGACTTCGACAGGCATAAGATCGTATGATGCAGCCTGGTAGCGTCGAATTTCTCGGATCACTTGGGAAGACTTCTGACGTTTGTCAAAGTTGATAACTTTTCCGCCAGCCACAGGAATGAAGTTATTGTTCCCGTCTTGTATGAATGTAAGGTCTTTCAAAAATAGGCCTGTGCGCAAGGTAATGTTACAATGGATAATAAGCATAATAATCAGGGACTTTACCAAAAAAAGGGACGCAGGGCAGATCAATGGTGGCTAGTAGTCTCCGGTACTCGGCGAAATTTCTGCCCGAATCAATCGTCTTCTCCAGATCAGCCAGGACGGCGTTCGCGCGCTGATGAACCTGCTCCCATGACCTTCGTAACCGTCGGATAGGAGGACAGTTCAGACCGGCCACAAGAGCAGCCATTGTGGAGAAATTTTTGAGTCGTTTGCATTGCTAAATGGTTGTAGGTGGGTTCATTCATCTAGTAGTGGGGAATGTATGCACAGACCTCCGCAACACTGATCCAGAACCTGATAACTGCAGCACGCTTCTTTACCTCGTCCTTTGCCAGCACTGTGTCCGTGACCCATGCTGCCATCTACAAACTATGAATTCACGCTGTCAGATCTCGTTGCAAACCACTTACTTGATTACTCATATGTATGATAGCCTTGATGTTGTCCTCAGTGTTCGTGGATTTGTCCTTTCCACGTTCCAGGCACTCAATGGCATGCACACGGTTGAAAAGCCGACTCTCCATAATAGTTAACTGACGTGCCAGTTCAACCGGGTCCAGTTCATGCAATTTGAACTTCTTCAAGTTCTTTGGCAATATTGACGGAGGCGGATCTTGCAGTCCATTCGCTGTGTACTTTTTGGCCTGTGCCTCGTCCGTCTAGGAATCGTCAGAAATGCATCAAAGAGCAAGTGCCATTTTTACGGACTCTCATTTTGATTGTCTGCAGCACTTGCATTTTAGGAGCCATCATATCTGATTCTTGAATGCTCTCAGCGAAGTCTCTAATTCGATCCAACACGTGAAGGTCATTCTGGTCCAACGTTTGGGATTGAATAAGCGCCTTCAATATGTTCATTGTTCTTGAAGATGGCCTATCAGGATGCGAAAACTGTCGAAAGCATACGTCCGCACCTGAAACGATATCGCTTTTGCTTGTCATCTTTCCATTCAGCGTACTGCTGTGGAGAGAGATTTGGAGGTGGTGGTAGATTGAATCGCGTGATCAATTCCGTCACAACTTCATCGACTGTAGCGAAAGACTTGAAAGTCATTAAGAATGTCTCGTTGAACGTGGAATCTGGACTTGAATTAGCTTTTGCATCGACCGGAGAAGCTGCAGCACTTGCCCAATCTGTTATGTAATGTCAAATGCTCAACCAGCGCAGGAAGAGTGCCTCCGCGAACCCCAAGATCTGAGTTTAGTAGGATATCTGGGGGCCCGTACATTCTTCTCATATATTCAGACTCGGTAGGGGTTGTTTGCGCGGCGATGGGAGCATCGGCGCCAAGGAGGTTTTTCAACTTCCGTTCTCGCTTTGAAATGACGACGGGGTCTGATGGATCTGGATCTAAAGCAATAAATAAGAGTCAGCACTTTCCTAGCGTTTACTCGAGAGACAACGAACTCTTCGGCACCGCAATATCGTCAGGAGGCCAGTCAGAATCGTTGCGCATGATGTCATCCGCAAGAGTTGGAGACTCCGCAGGAGGATGAGATGGAATAGCAGTATTCGTTGCGGCCGATGCGCTGTTATCGGTAGCAGGTATGTCGCTTCTACGTCTATGAGTTCGGGATCGATAGCTCTCCGAGCCTCCTGCCGCACTGAAAGGGTGAATGGGATTTACAATCGTCGATTCGCTGTCCCGTTCGATGAGACCGGCAAAAGTGTTGCCAGATGTATTGCGTCCGACCACGGCAGCGAAATCGCCAGAGGTGCTGTGGGCCAACTGGTGATGATTGGGGGAGCGTGACCCGATATGACCTTGTTCGCTACGCAGGGCTGCCCCTGCTTGCGCTGTAACAATGTCCACAAGGGATTCCAACGTTTCTAAGACTTCAATTACTCCAGACTTCAGGGTTGACGAAGCTGACAGCATGCCGTGGAAAGGGCTTTCATTGAAGTTCTCTACTAGCGCGGTCGAACGAAGAGAACATGCTCTCTGGGCATCCAGCAAGAGTAACGAGCCTTGGTCATATATCGATTGTTTGAGAATCTCGAACGCGCGAACAAGGTGTCTTGCTTGTCGAACATTGGATCCGTAGTCATCCGGCAGAGCGTTGGGGGCAGCTGTCACAGATATGGGCCCCGGGCTGCCGTCGAAATCGAGATGTGAAGCAAGATCTAGGTCTTCAGCGAAGTGTAGAAACCGACTAAGCTCCGCAAGAACAACTTGGGATTGTTGGACAACTTGCATAGTTACTTCCCGTGATATACTTGGCGGCACTTCGCTGAAACTCGATTCTGCTACAATCGGGTCGCCGTTCTCCAAATAAGGATCTGTAGAGGATCCTACGATTGTATCGTACGGATGGCTGTATGCCATGTTGATTACTTCTGATAGCTTGGTGAGTTGATCATCTACGGAGATGCCGAGCTCGTTTAAGTCCTTGATCGCATCGGCACCTGGAACGGTCCGGCAAGTCGTCTCTTCGTCCTGGGGAGAGACAAATCCATTCGCCTTCCAGCTCGAACCAACACCGCCACCAAGGATACCTGTTCCGATACCAGCAACACCGTGCCCAGAGCTAAGAGAGGCTCTGATACGACGAGAAGAAGACACCCCGCTCTTCTTGTCGAGTTCCAGTACGAATGCAACGACGGATCTTTCCAGATCGCGGGCGTCACGTTCTAACGTGGCTGCCATTTCCGGAGGTCGAGCATCTGGGACGGAGTCTGCAGCGCGAGCAGAGAGGATGAGACGAGAAAGATTGGCAGCCACTTTTCGATGGAATCCTGTCAGTGGGTCCGAAGTAACAGTTTTCAGGTATTCCTGCGTAGGTGCTTCGCCGTTCAAGTCCGATTCTTGGATAGGCGGCAAGAGTTTTCCGGAAGCAAGCAGAAGATCCAATACTGTGGACGCTGCTATGGCAACACGGCCAGATAACTGGGGATGCTGGTTGTCATGATTATCAAAGCGACCTTCTAGTCGTCGCTCTCGGATGAAATCGATGCCGTCGCGGGGAGTGTTGGGACTTTCGTCCATAACATGCGTGGCAGTGTCGATCACCACTTGAATGGATTCACGAGCCGAGGTGGAGCATTCCTGGATGGAGGGCGATGTCTCCTCAGGTTCCATAGCCGATTGCAGGTCGATCGCGAATTCCAGAGCCGTGTGGTGGTCAACAAGGGGCGCATCCGGTAGACGTCGAATTGCTCTAGGTCGACGACCGCCGGAATAAGCACTGCTGCTGCTGATGGAGGGCAGCGGCCTTCGGTCCGTATTCGTGTTGTAGCTGTCGCCGTATCCCAACTCCGCGAATAGAGTCGGCACATCGTGCAACGGGCCATTATAGAACGGACCATCGGCATACAAGCCGGCAAAATCTGAGGCAGCCGAGCTGGCCGTCCCACGTCTCATGGTGCCATTCGTGTACGTCTGACTCACAAGATCTCGACGTTCTCTAGCGCCCAAAGCAGGTGACGGGGGGGTCCAACGAACTTCGTGATTGACAGGATTCCAGTAGTAATATGCCATTCCATCGTCAGTCATCTTGCGGATCCAAGGATCCGGCGTACGACCGCGCGGTCCCGCTTGGCCATCCATCACGCTCAAATCAGCATGACGGGATGAGTCAAACATGTTGTTCATGCTTGCTTCCCGTGATGTCGTATCCTCTTCTGTGTGATCCTCCAGCATTGTTGGAAGCTCGCTGCTTTCCTCGCCGGTATCTGGGTTAAGGTAGTATATCTAGCAAGCTGTCAGACCGGACCCCGTCGTTACCGTGAACTGCGTAACATACATGGCCCGATTGAGACATCTTCGGAATCCAAGACTCGGTAGAAGGGGCACGAGCAGAGTGAGGTACAAAGGAAGACAGCGTCGACGTCGCCACACTTGCTCCCATATTATTTTCATTCGACCCCCATGACGGGTCATTGATTAAGCTGCTCTGCCCTGGTGCCATGGACTCTGGTACGATTTCCAGTCGTTCTTGATAGTAGCCATTATCTCGAAATTCTTGTTCTACCTCGTGTTCCGATACAGGAACCACATAATTGCTTGGGAACCACCCTCGCTCGTCCTCCAGCAGGCCATCCCACCAGCCCGAATCTAGCTGGGTGAGCACCTCGATTAGGTCCCCTTTGTGGAATGTGAGAGAAGAGGAATCAGCAGATCGATAATCGTAAAGAGCTCGAACAAAGAAAGTGGCGGGATCGGGGCCTTCATAGTCGGTCGCCATGATGAATTCGTGGATGTGACGGCTCACTCACGCGCCAACGACCAGGTTGACATGGGACGGCGGGGTCAGCCGTAAATCGGGAAAGATGCTGGCAGTCGAGACTGAGTTCAAAGCTATTCAGAGCGCAGATGTGATGAGCCAGGACAAGAAAAGTTGGGGACAGGCCAAATAGTGAAGACCGTCAGCTGCCAGAGGGACGAACTAGGGACATTGCTTCATCACAGAAGGTGGCGGCTCGTATCCGCACCCGCGGATGGATAACCAGGGACGATACGTAAGGAGCTACAGTACTATAACTAGGGTATATAGAATAAATGCTTTTAATGATTGTATACGTATGATGACACCCGACCTGCAAGAGATGACAATCCTAAGTCTAAACTATCATTGTGAACGGTTGGACGAGTTGATTGGGCACAGAATACCCTCTAGCGTTTCAATGTCCGCTGCTTCTCCGCGAACTCAACTATTTTCTTATCCACACTCAGACCTTTCCTTTCACGCACAGCGTCCATATACATTTTGGCGATGTTGATCCTGTCCGCCTTTTCGCCAAGATCCTCCAGCTCTTCTTCTGTTGTTGGCACCCAGAATGGATCTTGGTCTAGTATCTCATATCTGTTCAGTGTCAGCGAGGCCTCTGCCTGGACGGTTCTCGGCGCGCGTACCCGTTGAAAATCAACTGTGGGCTAGCGGCGCCACTGGTTCGTTTTCGGATGTCGTCCGCAAATCCGAAGCTTTCCACCACGGGAAGAAGAGCTCTGATCGTGAAGAAGCTTGTTCCCTCCTTCATCTCCTCCGCAACGATTCGACCTCTTCGCCTAGAAATAACACCGTAAACCTTACCAAGGACATCGGCTAGCGAACTCAATTAGGGCCAACCAGCCTGACACTCGAATGCACGTACTCGAAGCTTGTATATCGCATGCGTACATAGCCATCATAAGCCGGGGGCTCCAATCTACCATGCCAGCACGACACGCTTCTCGTACCCCAGTGATGACACTGCCCGTGATCTGAGGTAATCTGATCCGATTTTCCTCCATTTCTAGAACAGCCAGGTCGTAGTTCAAATTTTGTACGAAGTACGCCATTCCCACAACAGGCTCCGCACAGAGCGGCCCCTGGAAGGTGGCTATCTGAAATCCTGTTTCAACAGCCGCGTCGAAGTATACGGGACTGTGAAGAGACAGTGCATTCGAGTCTGACACAAAATTAGGTTGCTCAGCCGACACCTCGACCCCACTTTCTCTTGTCTCTGTGCTCGTTCGCCTTCGAAGGCTGCCAGGGCTATGAGATTCTATCACCAGGCAGGATGCGACTGTATAACGTACGATCGGAAAGAACCACCAGTTTGGTCTATCAACATGCAGCTGCCTATCCTCTTGGGTCCAAACGCCCATATCTGATCTGCGATCTTTGACCAGTCTGGTCCAGCGGCGGTTAGGAGCTCTTCCAGTTCTGTCCAGAAACCTTGGGGTTGGACGGTTGGACGGTTTTCAGTTTCTTCTCCGAGTACATCTTCCTCCATGGCCAGGACACCTTCTACCCTTGTACGTACATTCGACGTGACCCGTTGCATACCCCGACCCCCTTGTATCTCTTGGATAACATGGACATTGGACTGTAAGAAAGAGATGACGGAAGATGGAAGCGGCCTTGCTCTGATGCTGAAAGTGACCAGTCCCTGGGTAGAGCTCCCTTTCACGGTCCCTCTGGGCAAGTCCTGGCTTTTCGGTGGCGCCATTTCTAAACAGTTAATTAGACAAGACATCGCAATTTAATGGAAGTCGCCTTACCGGCAACCCTGATAGCCGTCTCACGGAAGGGTACAATCGGCTTGGATGCTTGGATGTCGATTTTTGCGAACCTCTCGCGCAAGTCTTTCAAGCATCGCTTCAGGTCCGCATGTTATTCGACTGTTGTTTGTGGCGGGAGGAAGCCCTCACCTCAAGATGGAGTTCGCCAGCCGTGATGATGACATACTCGCCAGTTTGCTGCTGGAAAGTCTCCACGCATGGGTCAGCTTGTGACAGAAGGCGGAGCCCTCTGATTAACTTCGGCATATTTGCTGGGGGCAATCAGGGTCAGTTTACACATGAGTGTGAGATAGAAGCCCGTACCCGGTTCTGCGGGTTCCAATGCGACACGCACAATCGGAGCCGCCTGGTAACCTGTTGAAGATAAATTGACGAGGCAATCGCTTTCTACTTCATTCGAGGCAATCGAGTCTTCGCTGTGTATACTGGCTCCATTGGGACTGCATAATGTAGCGTTTCGAAGCACCACACCTCCAAGTCCACCAATTGCAAATACATTTCCAGCAGGAACGGCTTGTACAGGAACAAGGTCACGTCCCATTATTGTGTAAAGTGTGGTTACTTGGATGACTTGCAGATGCTTGATGTTACTGGCATGTCTTGGCCCAAGCGACGCGTCGTATCGTGGGAGCACACAGTACATATGCGTTCCTTGTTTCATGGTGCCGGAGTAAATTCTGGCGAAACCAAGAAGGGCTTCGGTGTTGTCATTCTCCACGACCGCGGATGGATTTTTCGATACAGTTTCCCCGGATGGCTCGACGGAGTCTTCACGAACAGCAATGGCCCTATCTTCCAATGAGCCCTCTTCAACCTGAGATCGCCGAACACGAGCATCTCGTCCCCGTTGACGCATTTCTTCTGCAGTCAGCCCACGCTGCTTGTTTTCCGGCAATTCTTTGCTCGGCACCGCAAACATTTTGCTGACGTACGCAACAACAGAGGCGCCGTCGCTGGCGTCGCAAGAGTACAGGTTTTCTTCCAGCCTTGTTTTCGCATTCACGGCCTGCTCGTGTAGATCCGGGTAGAGCACCTTCGGGAGCCTCGTCCTCTGGGCTACGGATGGGGGTGGGATCACGTCCACAACAGCTTGGAATGTGCATGAAGCTAAAGAGAGCCACTTGGAGAAGATCACAGAAAGCAGATGCCGCGAATCTTTGGAGTTGAGGTCGCGTGGCTGAATTTTGAGGTTGAGCGTAGAGACGATCTTATTAACCTTATCTTGGTTCCTAACACTAATATGAAACCGATGTATGCGATAGGACAAATGATCAGGCTTACGGGGTGATGACAACGTTATGATAGACGGCCCAGATGTTCTCAAGTACAAACTGAACAAACATGGGCTTGAGATTTCTACCCTTCAAGCCTTTACGGCCAACCACTCTTTTGGTTTTCGGATCTAGAAAGAAGTCACCCCAAAGTGTTCGCCTAAGACTTTCTTCCTTGATACCAAGCTTATCCGCGTATAGCCTAGAGAATGTACCAATGCGGAACGCCCAGGCATCGATTGCTGAAGCGAATATGACATTTCCACGTTCGGGGGTGAAGTAGATATCTTCATCGTCCCTTTCCTGGAACTCGTGAAAAACTATCTCATCTCCTGCTGCATCTTCCAAGCCGCTTTCCTTTTCCTTCCTCATCTGTAGACGCTTCTCACGCTCTTCACGCCAACGCAGGTCATCCTCCATGCGTTCGGACGCGAAGAAGCTTCCCATTACAGCGTTTACTTGCTCTACAACTTGGCTTAGGTGATGATGGGCTTCTATAGGGGAGAGCTGAAGTTCGGTTATCAAGCGATCAATCTTGTTGATCACGAGAATGGGCCGGAGCCGGTCTTGCCAAGCCTGTCGGAGCACAGAAATTGTTTGTGTGCAGACTCCTTCCACTGCATCCACAAGGACAAGGGCGCCATCGCATAGGCGAGAGGCGGTTGACACCTCGATCGAAAAGTCCACATGGCCAGGAGTATCGATGAGGTTGATAACGAAACTCTCTAGAAAGTCATCTGCGTCTCATCAGCTTGTGCGGTCCAGCTTTTTTTTTTGAAACACCCACTACCGGTCGCATTTCTTCTCAAGACTTGGAAGCGCAAAGATACAGCACTGCTCTCCATAGTGATGCCCCTCTCTTGTTCATCTTCTCTACTGTCCAGGAACCGTATTTTGCCAGCCATACGAGCAGATATTATGTTGTTCGCCGCCAGAAGAGAGTCGACAAAAGTAGTCTTGCCATGATCGACATGGCCGGTGACGGTGATGTTCCGTACATGAGACGGATCTGAGGCTGCGCTCATGATATTGAAGCAGAGGAGACAGACGATGAGGAGAGACCCTGAAGTTCCTGCCAGATACAGGGCGCATGAAATTACCGTCTCCTCTGACACGTCGCGTCTCCCGGGCTTTTCATTACCACCACTGCACTTGCACACCATCGATCAGTGCACTACCCACATACCGTTGTCCATCAAATACTTGAAATTAGAATATCTGCTTCAGATCTAGAATGGGGGTAATAAGGTATGTATTCGGTTTGCTGCTCTGTGTGCTGTCGTGACAACGAACCACAGATTGGGTGTTTGCGTTGTGGGCGTGTACAGCATGTTCCTGGTGATGATTTTGCAAGGAAACAGTCCTTGGAGCGAGCGCTGATATCATACCGTAGCTGTGGGCGGTGGCTCAGGAAAGACGCAAGTCTTTTTTTGCATCCCGCCTTCTCAACCTATAACAACTTCCGTAGTCTCTGTTCCGTTCCGGTCCATCATCCGCCCCACTTTGGAGAAGTTTGACTCCCCGCTTTTCATCAATACACTCCAAAGTGCATGCTGCACTTTAGCTGCGTTTATGTATCTCCTTCTGCGACAGTCGCGTGGTGACACCGTATTTGTCACATTAGGTCTCTCCAAGCCTCTCCGACATCGATCATCTCCTCGTCAGCCGGCGCACAAAGTAGCAAACGGATCATCTCCCAGAAAGGATATGGACAATTCTCGGATAAAGAAAGAAGATCTTAACACCAACGGTCACCACCGAGGGGGTTACGATGGACATGCCCCAGTTTTAAAGTACTCGGCGAAGGAGGTCATACTTCGGTACTTACAGTGCTCTGTTCTCATCACTGTCGCATCACCGTTCGGCTTCGCATCTTTGTCGCATATTTCGTATCCGACAATGGTACTTGCGAAATCGTGCAAATTGGTGCCGGTCATGATCATGAACGTGCTTTTGTATCGTCGCAAGTTTGCCTTGCACAAATATGTCGTCGTCGCGATGGTGACGCTAGGCATTGGCATGTTCATGGGATTTGGAACTTCAAAGAGTGGCGAAACCGGTTCTCGGTCAAGTATCTATGGCCTCAGTCTCCTTATTGTCAATCTCGCAATCGATGGCGCTACCAACTCGACACAAGATGAGATATTCTCACGGTATCGAGTCAATGGCCAGCAGATGATGTTCTTCATAAACTTGTTCTCCACCGCACTGACAACAGGCTTGCTGGTTATGCCTCTGCCTTTTATTCCGGTAATTCACCCGTCACATTCTATGACTCCCGAGTTGTTCGCAGCCATAGATTTTATCCGTACACATCCTTCCATCATCATACCATTAGGGCAATATGCCTTGACTGGTGCTCTTGGTCAGCTTTTTATCTTTGAAACACTGCAACACTTTGGTTCTCTCACCTTGGTGTAAGCCGGTTCCTTATTTCTACGAAAGAACCGCACTAAACATTTCGCGTAGAACAATCACATTGACGCGTAAAATGTTCACCATGGTCCTGTCAGTGTTTGTATACAATCATCGTTTGACCTTCGGACAATGGGCTGGTGCCGGTGTTGTCTTCGCTGGCATCGTGCTTGAAGCCTGGGTGAAGCGGAATGGTGCGGTTCAGCCCTTGCCTCGCAGTGGTAACTATCTCACCGGCACACAGATATACATGCGAAACGTGTTTTACAAGAGAAAGAAAAAGCGAAACTGAAATCGCTTTGAACGGTGGCGCGGGCCGGCGAGTAGGCAGACCAGACAGCACACTCTTAGATTCCTGTGAGTCCCGTTATAAATGAGTGCAACTTTTATTACATGTTAATGTATCAATACAGGTATGCATCCCGGCGCGAGGACAACCCAACGAAAAGAGTATTGCGACCCAGTAGAATCGATCAAGTAGCAATGTCCATTGCTTGATCCTCTTCCTCGTGCTGGTCCATGGGACCATGAGGTCGCCTAGAATTCCATTCCAACTCATCGTCCTCATCCTCGTCGCGCTTCCTCCGGTTGCTTATCATACGGTCTGGTCGTTGCGGCATTGCTAGAATGGCCTTCTGTGCTCGGTAGATTGGTTCATACTCTTTCAACTGGGCCATGAAGCCAGTATTGGGGGAAATACAGTATCTCTTGTTCTGAACATAATGCAAGGCTTCCTATCATACGATGGGTCAGGTGCATCCAACAGCGCAGATATGACCCATACAGTGTAGGACATCGAGTTGTGCTGCATGATGAAGAGGATGACGAAAGTCGGCGAAAGACTAATACCACCTACAAAACCATCAGCTAGGGAACCGTCATGAGGATAGAGAGGAATCACCATTGCAATGGACAAGCACGGTTCCTCCACCGTTGATGGCATCATAAATGAATTGTTTTGGCCTGTTGGCAATGCGTCAGCGCGTTCTATGTGCGGGAAGAGCCCTTACTCGCTGAACAGGCTAATAAGATTTTGATCATCATTATCCATCACGTCCAGCACCATGTACTGAAAGCGATCTTTAAAGCGGGCCTTGACGAGGAAAGCCTCCTTCGGATCACGAATACAGAGTCTAGCAACACATGAGTCATGTGTTTGCAATTGAGTGATGTGAGCTACGCACATATGGGTGACACCGAGCGCAAGAAGAGTATCAAGATCCTTGGATACCTGGAACGGTCCCAAAAGAAGTCCAGGTATGATCTCTTGACATTCTCTTCGCATCTCATATCTGAGTTAGGAAGGATATCATGAACACATTGAACACTGTGCAGTCTTCATGTGCCTACCTCCATTCCTTGCCCGGAAGTGCTGGCATATCCTGTTGAGCAATGTAAGACATAGCCAGTACAACGACAATCGAAAGAACGGTGTTGGATGCTTAGAGTAAGGAAAACACGCAAAAGGTGGGTGGGATTGTTCGGTTGGTTTGTCGCGACGGCCTCGCGATGGTTTATAATAAGCGAGTGGCGGCAACCCTTCTGAGGTTGGACCCGCCCGGCTCCTCACCAGTTCAGTCAGCATGCAACCAGGCTGCTAACTTCAAGTATCCTACAGCTGCAGTACAACACATATATCAACTCACAACAGGAGTTTGTATTAGAATAATGGAAGATGGCGAAGAAATCCCGTATGCAACTGGTGTTCACGTTGTTTTCCTTCTAAATGGCCTGCTCCAGGCAGCTATCGGAAGCTCTTATTGCACAAGAGGCTGACCCTCCACAAGATGATGATGATCGTGTTCCTCTCACAATCGTGACCGGGTATCTGTTGGTGATATTCCTTCCAGAATGCCGCAGTATGCTAAGCAAGGCGACAGTGGAGCTGGCAAGACAACGTTGTTGAATTATATTCTGACGGAAAATCACGGGAGACGAATCGCAGTGATTATGAACGAGTTTGCGGACACAGCCGACATCGAATGTAGGTCTAGCACAATGCTTGATTGATATCGACCTCTATCTAAAATCGCAAAGCACGGACGATCAATGTTTCTTCCGAATTTGGTCTGACCGAGGAAGTGCTCGAGCTTGCCAATGGATGTCTATGCTGTTCTGTCAAGGATTCCGGCGCTGCCGCTATCGAAAAGCTGATGAAGAAGAAGGGGAAATTCGATTATATTCTTCTGGAAACTACTGGAGTAGCCGATCCAGGTGGCTTGCCTACGCCGCTTTGTGAGCCCGCTCATGCTTCACACAGGTCCAATTGCTGTCATGTTCTGGCAAAACGAAGAATTGGCGTCTGATATCTATCTCGACGGGGTGGTGTGTGTTATTGATTCCGTATTTGGCGCAGCACAGCTCAGCGAACGGTCTGAAAATTGCGTTAATGATGGGCAAAGGTATGTTTTTACCTAAATCGACTGTCTTTTAATGACTATAATGTGGCCCGCAGACAGGTAGCATGTGCTGACGTTGTTCTTGTCAACAAGACCGACATAGCCACGGCTTCTCAATTAAACGCCCTCGAAACAATCATTCGGTATGCGGTCGTGCGAGTCTATAATCACTGGCTTACTCTTCTTGCAGAGGTATTAATCCGACGGCCCCTCAACTCCTCACCCGGCACGGGGCAGTCAACTTAGAACTAATCCTGGGGCTGAACGCGTACGAAAAACTGCCAGAATTCCCATCTGCTTTCGGGTCAATAGATTCATGTGGTGAGGAGAGTCATTGCAACGATCCGTCCCACACGCATCATTCGCATGTCAGCTATCTCAACGAGATTTCTGCGTGTATCATTGATTTACCTCCGTTGGATGTCAACCAAACGAAAAAGTACGCGATGTCGTGTGAAGTGACTGCCCAACTGATCACTTCGAGTTTGCAGGCTAGATGAATTTATTAGGTCCCTTCTTTGGGATAATGTCTTACTGAGCCCAGAAGGCTTTGAAACAGTCGATTACGAGATATTACGCGCGAAAGGCATCTTCAGCGCAGACGGAAAGGAATACATTTTGCAAGGTGTCCGGAACATCTATGACATTAATGAGGTGATCGGAATAGAGGGAGTACGCTTGAACGGAAAGCTTGTATTTATTGGCAAGGGCCTGAGTGGAACCGTTGCATTGTCACCAAGTTTATACCGATATCTTGGTATCAAATCATGTTAGAAATCAGTACAACCCGCGGAGGCTTCACCTCTACGAGATACCTTGGACTTCACCTCTAATAGATACCTTTAGACTTCACCAATGACTTCTTTCATGATCGATGAAGCTGTGAACAAACGGACACCGCTGAAATGGACGTCATATGACACATGTCCCTTTTGCAATATTATCGCAAATAAACTCCCGGCTTTTCGAGTTCTAGAGACTGACATGGTGATCGCATTTTTGGGTACGGGCACTGTTGCCCTCTTATCATCTTGGTTGCCGATCCACTGATTCATTGCTAAGATATCCTGCCAATCAGACCAGGGCACACGCTTGTCGTGCCCAAAATGCATTGTTCAAATCTTTCAGATCTTCCATCAGACTACAGCCGAGCTGTCGGAGAAGCATTATCGACCATTGCAAATGCGATCACGAGAGGCATGACCATCAGTCATTCTGATTCATCGCATGCTGACGTACAGATTTAGCAACCCAACACCCAGACCTTAATGTTGTTTGCAACCAAGGTTATGGCCAGGCGGTGCCCCATGTGCATTTCCACATGGTGCCGGCCCCCAGAACGGTGGAACCGCCCTCAACCCAATCACCAACCAATAGATCAATGAACCATCATGAAATGGTGATGTCGGAATATCACAGGCGTGAAGAGCTAGATGAGGATACAGGCAGAAACATGGCGGACAGGATCAGAAGTAGATTATGATTGCAGCATTAGGTGAACATGTCCAATAATAGAGGCCTGCCCAAAGGATGGCAGCATCGTCGCTCAGCACATGCCCAACGTAATAGTATGTAAATTTGCATGTCATACAGCTATCGCCTTTCCTCCGTGTTAGGATAAGGATGACGAGGATCATGATCGCCTAATGGTCGTCCAGAGCCAGGGGGAGGAAGACGAGAGTCTCGACGATCGTCGTAAATTCGGTCTCGGGGTTCTCTGGGATCCCTCGACTCTCGAGGACCCCCATATTCCACCCGATCGTAGCCATCTCGGACCGGTCCACTCCAATATGGTCCATAAGATTGAGTAGGACCGCGTGGCTCATAATGGCTGGGAGGGGGAGGGAAGTCATGATAGTGTGCTGGAAGAGGGGGAAGGGGATGGTGGTATGGTATGTCCGGAGGCGGGGGGAAGAATGTATCCCTGGGCGAATGGGGCGAATGACGAGACTCCCGGGGTGAATAGTGTGGTTCCGACCCGTACGTTCCTTCAGGTGATGGGGGAGGATATGGATGATTGGGGCTTCGGTACGGCAACCCGTACGGCACTCCATTAGCGGCGGGAGAGAGACGAGGAGAAGAGAAATCGTGCGGTTGACCGGGAGAGTGAACATGGTAGTGGTGGTGATGTGCATGCGGGCCAGAATGCGAGTGAGAGTGCGTGGGTAAGGGTACTCCGTGCAGATGCTGCTGAATCGGTGGATTGAAGAGTGCATGATGCAGTGTAAATGATCGGGCAGGCGATATAGGAGCTGAATCTCGCCTGTGAGCGCCGTTGGTAGATGCTGAAAGCGACGGAGACTCCACAGGCACGTCCGACAGGTTGTGTGTCCCAAACAGTGTGCCATTGATGCCTCCTTGTTTCTTCTCGCTTCCTTTTTCGCCATGGCCCCTCTGTGTCTCTTTAACACCCTCATCTCTGTCCAGTTCCAGGTGCCCTACTCCCTCCCGCCCCAACCCTTTCTCCTTGCTTTTCCTTTTGCCATCGGTATGGCGGTCTGCTGATACGTTTGGGGATTCGGCGAAGAGGTCGTTCGGGTCAAACTGGCTTGAGAGCTCGAGGGCATGTGATAATGTCATTGCAGGCGGGATAATGTCTACAAATACAACAAGGTAGCGTTCATATGAGGTAAAAGATGCCGGGGGCCTCAAATCACACCTTCGAGGAAAGCCAGCTCTTCATGTTGCGTTGTACGAACGGCGGTGGCTGTCGTCGTAGTCGTCAGAATATTCGGATAGGCAGAAGCAGTTGACGTACCTAGATCACGCTGTTGGACAGTCGAGCGCTTGTCTCGTTGAGCTTGTTGATGTCCTGCTTGGGCCAGCCGCTTGATGAACTCTTCCTACCATGCATGTGAGTCCGGTGATAGGAAGGAGGCCGTGAGGTGAGACGTACGGCGGCAACAGAGATGAGAAACTGTTGTATGATAAGCTGCGCGTGAGGGCAAAACGACAAACTACCACGCACCACAGCGTCCTTGCCACATGTCGACATCTCCTTATCCGCCTTCAAGATCTTCTGAACACGAGCAACAGGTAGGAGTGTCTTGCCTACATCCCTTTCAGATTTCTTTTGTTTTGGTTTCGACTTGTGTTCTGGATGGCTTGTAGCGGCGGAGACATCTGATGGAGCTACGCCGCCAGCGACGATGTGATCATGAAGGAAGGAATCCTGGTCCGGAGAGCTGGGCGGTTGGACGATGGGAGCATCTGGATGGATGAGCTGTGGATCCATGATGAAGAACACGAGGCAGTGAAGGGGAGGTGGTGGGGTGGGAAGAGAGAAAGGGCGGGTTTGGGCAGTAGGAAGGCAGGAAAGGGAGGGAGGGAACCTGAGATTGAATTTTGCAGGGCGCGTCTCCCAAACAGCGGGCGTCATATGGCCTTCTGCTCAATCCAAACAAGCGACCAGGGATGATTGCCAAGAAACAAGTATACCTGCCTATTGAACGAGCCATCTGGAAGACTACGGTATAACATCGATCGCACGGAGCACTACAAATGGTTCCAAAATACGTTTAGGTTATCTCCGGAAAAGGCCACCAGGCGGCCACCTCTTCAGGAGAGCTAGCCATTGTATATTCACGTCGAAGCTCTGCCGCTCGTTTTGCCACTTCTTCGTCCTTGTCCACTGTACAATGCCCGTCCGTTCCAACCTCTAATTTGTGCGCTACTTCCTTCTGCTTTTCCCGAATCCACTCATGTTCTTCTAGCAATTGCTGGATCTCGCTGAGATCATCCAGAGTAAACGGTAGCTCGGACAATGGCGGGTTTCCGGACCAAACCTCGACTCTCAAGAATTCGCCAAATTCTTCCTGATTTTGGGCCCACAAGAGAGTCAACCAAATGGCCTGCATCATGGCATCCCACCGCGACTCGGTAACCAAGCGAAGAAGGTCAGGAAGAAACGGCCTTGCGGGATGGCGAGTTATGGCTGCAAGATGCGCTATTTCCGACGATGTATCTTCCATGTCTCCCAACAACGCACAATACAGATCGGATTCTTCTTGCGAGCTTTCTGTCGGGTTCGTGTCTTCGTCAACCATGCAAGACGGTGCACGCGCTCCGTTCCAGGCGCTGTCCGACATAGCCGCTTGCCAATCGAGGTACGCGGATACTTTGTTATCCGAAGGTTGCACCAGCAAGTTAGAGCGGTGTAGGTCCGGGTGCCGGATATGGTAACTGTCGAATTCTTTCGGTGGAGATAGCTGTACACTGTCAACAAAGTCGAGCAGGTACTGTAAGGCAGCTCGATGCAAATGAGCCCTGTAGTGGTGGTCGTCAATGGAAGGTGGTGTCTCGCATCGGTAAAAGTCTATCCCTCTGAGTTGGCCAGCAAGAATGGCTTTGTAGTACGCTGTAGTCGTGGGCCCTACAAGTTGCACAGATAAATGCTTATTTGGCAGAGGCGCGTAAGGAATTACGTACACGGGCCGCGGTCAACGTTCTCGTCGCTCCCAGCATCTGCCTTGAGATAACTGAAGACGGGATCCATGCAGGGACCTATACAGAAAGGAGTAGATGTATCATCATCTCCGGAATCTGCATATAGTGGCTCTGTCTGACCATGCGGGAGATCTTTCTTGAAGAAGAGGCTGCCGATGCATGACAAGGAGGCTTTCTGCAACAGTGCTTCCATGTGTATAACCTCTCGGTAAACTGAGTTCAGATCCACTTCTCCCTCGACGCAGTCATTTAGAGCTTTGCCGGGCATCTTTTCCATAATCATGTAGGGTGCCTCGACTGGGTTGGGTTCCTGAGGTGCACTGTAGGCGAAAACCGTTGGGACAGGAAGCTCGAAAGAGGAAGCAAGGAAGCTGAGGGTTGCCGCCTCGCTGGCTACCAAAAGAGCGCGCTCTGGCATCGATGTGTGAGGAATACGAGCAATGGCATTCCGACCATCTTGAAAGGCGAGCATGTACACCTTGTGGTTCGAGCCTGGCAGGATAAATGAGAGAGATAGCATGAGGGAAAGACAGATCTAACCACCTTCGGCAAGCTTGCAAATACGAGTATAAGGAGATTTCAGGCTCGTGGTCGCAACTTCCATGAGTGCCGTGACGTTGAACTTAGTGCAGCGCTCTTGTTTATCTGGAAGAAAGGTAAGGTCCAAAATAGTATGGGAAGGGGACTGTGACTGCCTCACTCACGTTTGTGCTCTCGAGTGAGCCAACGGGTCTCGGTGCAAATGAACAGAGGGTTGCTAACATCATCGACAGGCGTCGAGTTCTGGAATTGCACGTTGGGACACATGTCAGGGGGCAACGTAACGAAGGAGCGCCCTATGCCCAGCCTATGCTGACCTTGATGAGAGAAGGTATTAATGAATGCTGAGGGAAGTTGCAGGACTGAGCGCACGGTTCGGCGAGGTACTCCGTAATAAGACACACTGAATTGGCCTCCGTTTATGGAAACACGAGCGGTACGGCATAACGAGGAGTTTGACTGGACAAAGGACAATGGATCGTCGTGATGAGGTCGTGCTGTTGTAAAACTCGGTCACCGTCAGACTTCTCTCTTGATTCTGCGGAAGACACTTCCAAAGGGGACATGAGGAGGTCGAGATGTGGGTTCATGCCAATCCCTCAAACTCTACGTCTCAGTTCCATACGCCACCACAGTATGACTTTATTTAGTAACATCAACCATAGTCATGAGTATATTGCATTTCATAACTAACTTTCTCATCTCAACAACCAATATCACTCGTCACCACCTTGCGTCTCATTCTTTGCTCCTCGCTCAGCGGTGCCTCCAACGGAAAGTACAACAACTGATATTCGTCCTTTCGGCTGGACACAAAACATTAGGCACGCGCTCAGAAGAAGCCTCACAGCCACCTCTGGCGTAATCAACACAAAAAGGGTCCTTACACTCACCTGAGGTTCCTCAAGTTTACTCGTACCGCAGACAAAAGGGATCCAGCGCTCTTCTCGTCCACTACGACGGATTGAACATTATTTGCCGGAACCTCATTGACGACTTCATCCACTCGTGGGGGAATATCGCCCGTGACCGTTCGCTTCATCATTTTCTGCACAAATCCTGCTGTTATTCCTCGAGGTATCTTCGTCCCAAGATCGGGCTGCAAGAGGCTGATGGCCTTCTGTCTGACTTCTTCAGACAAGGTTCTTGCTGCGGTTTAATTTTTGCTCAAAGAGCCAATAAAAAAAAGAGAACTCGCTTTGCTGGATCCAGAAGGAGAAGGTTTACACCACCACTCTTGTCTTGTTCGTATCCGACAATTGTTCTAGAATGTCCTGCATGCTGCAAACTTGTCAGCACTCTCCCTGTACTTGAAAAATCCTACCTGGAGGATTATAGGAAGCTTGTTGGCAATCAAAACAGGCGACGAGTTCAATAAATCGAATGCGGTCATCGCAGAGCGAGAGTTTTCTGCTTCACTGAAGTATTTCTTCACCCATTCCTGAAGGGCTGTCGGTGCTGCGAGTAGCTCAGTGAGCCAGAGGCATTTATCGAGTACTCAACCTTACCGTTTCGATTTTTGCGAAAATCGACAAGTTGAGCTCTATCAATCAATAATGGCCAGTTCCGAGTACACAGGGCTGGCTTACGGTATGCCCAAATAGGAGAACACAACCCAAATGTCTAGCTCCGAATGAACTCGAGTTTCAAGACTATGGATCAGACGCTCACCTGCCGTTCCAATCCATTTACGGGTACCCACTATATGTCGCTTAAAGTGCGCTGCACCTTCTTTGTCGTAACCTGAAGGCGGCGCGTCAGAATATAGGGTGCTTGTTGGCTTTGAGGATACAAGACACCTGTTCTCCACGCAGTCTCTAGCCAGTGCTGTAGCTGTCGCACACCTGGGCTCACGTTATTAGGGCGAAGAAGCCTAGCGTATGATGGTTGAGCGGTCTGGGTCATTAGCGCGGTGCAGGCCATCATGAAATTGCGGTATCTATTCAGTACATCAATTATAGGTCGAGACAAGTAGAAAGGAGGAACACTAGCCCGCATCCCCAAAATCTGTCGACTATCCCAAGGCTATCAGCGTGTTTTATTCATTCATTTGGGATCAATTGACGGACACCACTCTGTGTGAATATGACACACCCCTTCCTGACAGAGTGCAGCTCTCACGGTCCAGCCGGTGCGATGACTTTCCAGTAAGGCTTGACGGAGAAGCCTAATAACGCCTTGATACAGTCATCAAAGTTCAGTCAACAAATAAGATCAGAAGGGGGGGGGGGG